GTACCGCGCGCCTCCAACATCAAGGGTAGGAGAGGCCCACGCCTTGGAAATTGGAAACCCTTCAGACGGTGGACGCACTCAACGGTGCGAGGATTGTTTTCCAAGGTGACGAGGACAGCTCTGTCCTGGTCAAGGAGGTAGATCTTACTAAGCCAGATCCTGAGCACGATGACGCCGTCGAGGAATGTGATATTGAGCCTGAGGAAGAGGTTCCGAGTGACCACTCCGAGACAGTCCGAGATGTGGACATGTCGGCAGGCTCATTTTACGATGAGGAAGCCGGAGACTTTGCAGAAACTTTCCAAAGATCACCTGTGAAGAAGATGAAGAAATGGTTGAGTCCGAATTGTTCCAGTCTAAAGCCGCTACTGTGCATGTAGACGAGGCCCCTACACTGGAAGATAATCAAACTAACGAAGCAAGCGTTGAAGATTTTTCTCACGAGCGTGTGTGAGTACAGGACACAAGCGCCCCGCTACTCTGGCGACGTGGTTCTTGAAGAAGATCATGAAGAAGAGTTAAGGAACCATTGCTTCCGCACTTCCCACCACTTACCTGCAGACATTTCTGCAACCGCAACTGTGCTAGGGTGGCCCATCCAAAAGGTACATGCGCCTTCATGCCGAGTATCACCTCAGTGAAGAGAAGCTTATCCTCGAAACCGTCAAGGAGAAGCTTGAGCCAGCCTTGGCGTAGGGTTCCTTCCTCATCATATAACACTGTGTCTTATAGAGCAGGGATCTTAGGGATATTTATGATGACAGCGAGATTCAAAAGTCACTTGAAGAACGAAAGGCCGCTATGGAGCGACTTGAGGTCATCAAGACAGCCAAAGGTCCCATGCTTCGTTCAGAGCTCGTTGCCGAAGTGTGGGCAGCCCTCCTGGCAGCTGGTTTTTTTAGGGGATATACGTTCAGTAGTGCAGCTGAGGTCCCGAGCTCAAGTAATGCACCTGGATCTAGTGAATCTAGTGGTGACTCATTTAGGAGGCCTGAGCGACCTCAGGGTACCATTCTTAAGAATAGGGTTGTGAATAGGAGCCAGGGACACCTCACAGCTTGTGTGCTGAATTTAGGACACTGGGAGAGATCAAGAAAGCGCTCCACTCCACTGTGCTTCCACCATCTCATTGATTGGGATGGAACTTTGGAAGAGCGTAAGCGTGATCCCACCTGTACCTGTGGAACCTCTTCCTTGATTTCCTCTCCAATATCAGTGCCCATATCCTTATCATGCAAGAGGCCAGCACCATTCGCCAGCAGGAAAGAAATGGAAGAGCATGGCTTGCTTACTGCTACCAGTCCCGATAAAACTCTCCTGTGCGGCATTCGTGCCAATCCGTGGCCTGGTGCCTACACCCATCACATTGCCGGCGCCCGCACCGTCAGGAGATACAAGGAAACTCCTCTTCAGTATGCCATCTTCGAAGCTTGTTTTGGTGATGAACTCGAAGGGAGGACTGGGAGAGAGCAGGCTTGTCCCACGACAAGGAAGCTGAACGTGAACTTCTTCGTGAGGAGAACCCTGCCAAAGATAAGATTATCAGGTCTGGAATGCATGTCGTCCGCATTTGCTCCTTCCACTCAACAATCAAGCAGCCATTGACAGCCCTGCGTTGTGTGGTGAGCTTCTCAGTTCCATGGTTGCTGATTGCTTCCATTACAAGGTTGATATCGTAGGTGGCGCTGGTAATGCCTCAACTTATAGGTATGCAGGAAGCAGCCAAAAGTCATCCTCCAATGAGCAATCTTTAATCCAGGAAGTATTCAAATCCTTCAGAGATGCCTTTGTGTCATGCTAAGGAGGCGACCTGGCCGTCAGCCCTAAGCTTAGGTTCGCCTCAGGCAACACGACAGAAACATTTCGGACACTTCGTTATTTTGAGGAGAACTTTGGTCGCCCTTGGAATGAAATTGAAGTCAAATATCCTCCTGATCCTGATCGGGATTGCATGGTTGCTTGCATCATTGAGTGGGGGCACAGCCAGAGTCTTGACAAATGGTCAGACCATCCTCCGGCAGAATATGAGTACATCATTAAGGCTCGTGAATTCTTGATGTATGCTGGATTGGAAACTCTGTTCCCAGGTCCTCGCTCCGCCCTACCTCACCACTGCGCGGGATCGGACAATGCAAGCAATCTTTCTGTGTGCCCTAGGCATCTTCTTTGCATTTGCCAGCCGTAGATTAAGCTTTTCCGTAGATATGTCTGTTTCACACCGAGAGCTAGATAGCCAACCAACGGGACAATTATGTAACGTGAAAGTAAATTTGTGCCTGATTGAAATAACTTCAGAACTGTTGTTTTGCTATCAGTCCATGTGCAGTTCATGTGACACAACTGCATTGCATGTTGCTGTTGCCGCTCTCAAGGTTCTAGGGAGTGAATATTCGAGTGCGCGCAGAGAGTGGAAAAGGACAGAGACGGCTGCTCGCCTGTCTTCTGTACACTGTAGTGAGGTAGTTCACGCTCAGGCCAATCTCAGGGGGGGGAGGGGGGGCAATTTTGACTGGTTTTTGCAGCTGCCCTGGATTCTCGAGTGGGAGGCCTTATCTTGGGGTGACTGGGGGTATCTTGGGGGGATCTTGGGGATCTTGGGGGATGGGGGGTCTTGGCAGGATTTTGGGGGGATCTTGGGGGATTTCGGGGGAACTTGAGGGCATATTGAGGGGATCTTTGGTGGGTCTTGGAGGGATCTTGGAGGGCGGGCCTTCGGTAGGAGGGATGCAATTCTTTTCACGGTAGTGAGGGCTGGGCTGCGTGCTCTTCTGGTCGTACATCGTCTATCTCTTCACGTCCTGTATCATCAGTCCTGACCACTATTGAGCTTTCGTCCCCAGCCTGTGCCTCTCAAGTCGCATCTTTCTGCAGTTTTGATTCAAGATGTCAGATAGACAGCATTGCCACCATCGTTATGTCCCTGCTTTGTGTTGCAGGCACATTGATCACGAAGCGCAAGCTGTTTTGCTTCAGCAAGTTTTTTAAGTATTGTCAGTGTAAAATCGTTATTGCAGAAGCAAGGGGCCCTGTTGAGAACTTGGATTTGGGTCGCGAGAGGGAGGGTAGAGGATCGCCATACGTCATGCATTATCCATTGTTTATCATCACATGTCTCTAGATTTGTTGCGCACTTTTATTAGGCGTCGTGCGCTCATTGCATCAGCGTAGTCATCATTGCCAGCATTTTCACGATCATGATCTCGAAGAAGAAGATGGTGATGATCATCATACCATCATGTCCGTAGCCATCATCAGCTTCATCGTCATCATCAAGCTTGTCGTTGGTGATGCTGCTTCCCATGCATGAGCCGCTGCGCAAGAATGACACCAAGGATGATACAAATCGAGACATGTACCATGGCATGGCTGTGGTTCAAGACACACCAGCGAAGTGCGATGATCGTCTGTATTGCAGTCGGGTTGGGGATGGGACTAGGCGGTTTTGTTTGTGGGTGCTAGATGTTGTTCTCCACAGCATGCGCAGGGCAATTACGAGCTGTGCCATCACATTGTCCCCTAGTTTGCCAGCATTCAATCCCCATAAGCCTTCATAGTCAACAGCTGTGATCGCAATGGTTAGCGTCGGCGTTGATGTCATGCTGGTGTTGTTCATTTATCCTGGTACTTTTTAGTTGGGTGCCTGAACCCTAACCAGCATCATTAGATTCAGACATGTAGCGTACATCGCTGTAGCTGACTTTGACATTGCCATCATTATCTCATGAGCAGCATCAGCAGCAAGGCATCTTCGCTGTCATCATTGTTTACAACCGGTGGGGTGCCTTAGACACGACTGGAACTAAGAACACGCGGACTACTGTAAGAAGGAGCATACCCCGACAGGAATCTATTCAAAACTATTCAAGGAGAAGGTACATGGAAGCAATTGAAGCCTAATAAGAATTTCAGGCCGAGAGTGATGGCCCAACCAAGGGTCAAAGGGCGTAAATTCTTTTGCTTGCCTTCAGCCTCCTAGCCCTTTCCTTCAGTTGGCTCCTCCAGTGGTGGGGCATGGATGCAGTGGATATTGAAGGATTTTAGCTGGAGCCTTTTCTTTCTTTTCGGGTCACTGGACCAGCTGGCGGGAAGGGCCAGAAGGTTGGAGGAAAAGCAAAAGAGTCCGTTTTCGGTTTCAATCCTCCAGCATTTGAGATGTTTGACCCTTTTCAGGGCATTGGAGGATCCAGCTGAGGGGAAGGGCAAGGAGGCCGGTGGAAAAACATATGTGGGTTCGGGCCGGGTAGCCACAATTCTATCAGCTTTGTTTTCAACCTGAGGTGGGGTTGGGCTTTTTGTGGGGCTGTGGCGCCGCTCCTCTTTCCAGCCGTTTGTGTCTTCATCTTCAGGATTTGCCTCGATGCCACCCAACTCATGATCAGCCTCAGCATGAGCCTGTGCATCATAGCAGTTGTCATTGCCATCAGCAGAGCATGAGCGGCGTGACTTAGCCTCAGTTACTGCAAGGTATGTTCCGCTAGCTCTTCTTTTAACGACCAGCATCTATCAGCATCATCCGGCCGATCACTGTTGCCACAATCTGGATACAGCCATCATGACAATCATCATCATATTGTTGTTGTTACCACTCGCCGCCACCTATTCCGCCTGACCGCCCGCAGAATCATGATCATCGTTCTCATCATCATCATCATCTTCATCATTTTCATCTTCATCGCCGTTAGCATCTCCATGCGTTGTTGCGGCAAACTTTTCTGCTCCAGCTGCTGCTGCTCCCTGCTGCTGCTGCTGCTGCTGCTGCTGCTGCTCCTTCTCCTCATTGTTATCATCCTTCCTTTCGGAATTGTCATCAGCAATCCCTGTCATGTCAATGTCTTCCTGTGTCATCGAGACGTTTTGGCACTGTTTTGAGTCTCCTTCGCCCTTCCGATGAGCTTGACAGCTAATGGTGCCGCTGCAGCCCATGGTGTAGTGATTATTCTCACAGCTGCTATCTTGGCTACTCCTGCTTGATTACGATCAGCGATTCTCAGCCTGCGAAGGAGCTTGTGCTCGTGGATCTCAGGTCAACAGAGGCACGAATTGCGCAGCTTGAGGGTTGCTGATCAGTTACCAGTAGCACGATTGATGCTGGGATTTGATACCCCTTTCCCAATCGCACCCCATTGAAAATTGTCCCAATCAACATGATTCTGCCTCCCGTGGCAGATTTTGTTGGATCAATTCAATTCTGGGGTTGCGTGTTAAGTATGATAAACCTGACTGACAGCTAAAGTTGTAATCATTTGTAACGTGAACTACGCAGGTTCTGACGGCAGCCCTCTCCGGCACGTGCAGTAGAACACTGCCATACTCCCAGCACTCGACAGTGTGCCAAGGAGGGGCCACAGAGTTGCGACTCAGGCGAGTCTGCAGGGCCTCGTTCATAGGCAAGCGACTGAGGCCTGCCTCAGTTTCAAATGACAGTGGTTCATCTGCTAAGGCCCAGAGAGCCGAAAGCAGCCTCTCACGCTTCCGGCCAGTTTGCCCTCCCTTGAGTGCCCCGTTTAGAATCAGAGTACGTATCTGGGACAGAAGCCGATGGAAACCTTCTGATGGAGAGGTGCCTCATGCTGCGGTACCGGGACTTCCGCGAGCAAAGAGCCACTTGCTCGGTGGCATTAGGTTGGTGCTTGAAATTGATCAGCGGCCAAGGCATCTCGCCAAGAAAGGATGCAGGTCACGGATGTTTTTGTCTTTTGTCACAGATCCTTGATGTCTATTGTTGTTGCAGGTGATGGCTGCTCCTCTGTTAGCTTGCCTAAAGAGCTTGCACCAGCCAATGAAGCTGAAGGCCTGCTTCTGCAATGTCTTCAAGATGGAAATCAGCAGAAGTTCAAGGCGTAATCATATGGTGCAGGTGCTTGCGCTGAGTGGTATCCGTGTCGATGGAAGTTCGGCGGACCCCTGGAACATGCTGTATTGCTTAGCAAATGCGGCAATGCTGATCAGCCCATGCTGGCCAAGACCAGCAGTATCTCTGTCCTTTGGTCTTCGTGATAGAAGTTCAAGCAAAGTTGCTGCTCCTGCTGATGGTCACACCCCAGCTTTCATCGAATCCATTGTTCTGGTATCATTACGTTCGTTCGCATGAGGAGACGGCTGCTTTGCTGGAAGGTCTGCAGGCCTACCAACTACGAGAGCAACACAAGAGTAAAATCCTTGAGAAGGGTCTTCAAAAATAATGGTGCTGAGAGTAGAAGGAGGGAAGAAAAAGGCTAAATAGTCCGGTTGTAGCTAGAGATGCCATGATAGAAGTCATACTGTCATAGTTGTGGGGATGGCAAGTCGCTTCATCAACATCAATGTCATCATAGCGCCTCGTTGCTAGCTTGAGTCAAGAGTCTGTATTTGACATGGTGCTTTTGAGGGAAAGAGAGCATGGATCCCTATAGTAGTCCTTATACCGTCAGATCCCTAGTCATACTCCCATGCTCCATTCCGGCAAGAGTTTAGCCAATGCCTACAGGGATTGAGGGCCAAGCTTCAAGAAGTGTGGGAAGTTCATTGGGGCTGGTCGTGGCTACTGTTGCTAGAAGGCGGGCCATTCCAGGCATCGGCATCGTGTAAACCCGAGCAGCCACCGTGTTGAACCCTGCATCCTTGGCAGACACGCCAGCAAGTACCCGGATAGCAGCGAAAGCCAGGCCTTACATCGTCATGTCTGCAGTAGCTGCCGCATAGCCAGGAAACTCAAAGCCCTGAACCCCAGGGATGAATGGAATGTTGAACATGTTGAACCTTGGGATGGTCCTGGTAGGCCCTATGCGGGCTTGTGACCGTCGCATTACGCTTCTCAGCTCCTTGGAGTCATGACACTAAAGTTTTGGGTTTTCCCAGACGGCATTGAACTTGTTTGTGCAAGGAAAGAAGACATGTAGACGTGTGGCAGTAATTGTAACCCATATTTAGTTTTCTTGGTCACAGTTCCATCTCAGCAGTCGAGTCAGGTCCCCAGGACGTTTAGCACCCTCCTGCCGCTGCGGCAACCTGAGTGGAACATCTTTATCCTGCTGGCTGATTTTTTGTTGAGGGTGCCATCAAGTGGTGCTGCGAAGCCATGCAGAATGTTGAGGTCGTCATTGTTGAAGATGCGTCAATGTTGGCCTTTGGCTGCATCCCAAGATCTCTTGGCATGATGTGTTTGCTAAGTTCTTGTGCAGCAGCATGGTCAGCGAAGTGAAGCTGAATCTGAATGCGAAGGTGGGTCACTTTGTTGTCGTTGATCAGTCCCTGCACGGCTTCGACTACTGGCCTTGTGAGAGGCCTGTATATCATGCCACATCATATGATTTTACGAATTTCCGACTGTGCGGGTGAAGGATGGACTTCCGACAGCTCTATCCAGCAGGTCGCGAATATTCAGCCAAGCAATTTCCTGTGACTGTTCCTGTCTGTTCATTACCGTGAGTGGGACTCATCACCTGGGCACTGGCCAAAATTTGGTCATTGTACACTTTTCCTTGATGCAAGAGTTTTCAACTTTGGACCAGCTCAATATCTTACCACCAGGATCCCCAGACGGACGCCAGGTCTTCAACACGGAGCAGCGCCGCCCTGTTATTGTAGCTGCTCTGACACCTGCTGTAAACATTCATGCGAACTAGCAGCGGTACTTCGTGCAGTCACCGTAGTTAGTATTGAGGTAGTGGCATTAGTGATCAGAAGCATTGCAGTGGCAATTTTACCGCTAGGAGTAAGACGAACGATGATATTCCGAGCAATTTCTGTATTGCCCACAAGGTGGTCATGCCTGTATCAACGATGATAGTGGTGCCTGTATTTTCCAGACGAACAGAAGCAGTACCGATACCCAAATGAGTACTCAAAAGTTTGGTGGCAGAGGCAGGTGGGAGCAGTCTGAATGCCTGCCAGGTTTCGGAATGTGTTGCAGCAATACAAGCTGACTCCAGAAGAAGTATGGAGCAGGCCCTTGCTGTGACAGACATGTGTCGCACCCGGCCAGGCCTCGTAAGCTGACAAATCCGTGCACTCAAACATCTCATTCATCCCACCTCCTGCGTGTTTCATGGAGCTTCCATCCTCTTCTTGCCTGTTGCGCTAGACTCCTAAACAACTAAAACTCACAAGTACCGTCTGGCTTTGTCACAAAAGCCTTTTCTTCTGGCCAGGATGGATCCAGGACAGCAAGCCTTCTGGGAGAAGGCATTGATGTTTTTCTTGCAGCTGGCGACGGAAAACCTTCGCAAATCCCCAATCCAAGTAAAGGTTGAAGGACGGGCTAGTATCCCTATTGCAACAACAGCTAGTATTATCCTTGCTTTCAATCTTTCTCTTGGAGGAAGAGCAGTAGTGCTGAGTAGTTGTAGCATAAGTACCAGCCAGAAGTTGGAGAGCTTGGGCGTTCTGTTTTCAGGTGTCGGCAGAGCTTCCAAGGATGCCGCACAGCGAGGCCGGAGGGCGTTCAAGACGTACATGGTCAAGGAATGGAAAAGAAAACGGAAGCCACAGTAATGGGTCATATAGGGACCCTAAGGATCCATTCCTTCATTCCTAGCTAACCCAGGGTAAGACAAACGGGAGTTTGCAAAAACACTGGTCCCCCTTGTGTACCTAAACTATAGTAGTCCTTATCATCAAGACTTCGCGACTTTCAAATGGGGACTGTAATTCTTGGAGCCCCAAATGAGGCAGTTTATCAAGCTTGCTGATCTATTCCTGTGTGGCACCTGTTCCAGCACCGATGTTACTTCATCGGGTCGAGAAGGGAAACCTTCGGCACATACACTACGCATTCTTGTAGGTGCAAGTGTTGTTCACAGACATGCAGTTATGTTGTACGTATCGAAGAACTAGCAACACAACGGACATACAGCGCATGAGGGTATCATTTCGCATGTGTGGTGTCAAAACATGCCTGTTGCAGATGACTCTTCGTGTGGCTCATCTTTTCCCAAGCTCCTACGATGAGAGCACACACAAGCTGTGCTGAGGGCCTGCCATTTGCTAGTGTACCTCCCTGTCCACGGTGCCAAATATGGGCAGCTGTCGGCAGGGACTTGTAAAAAAACATTGTTTAAAGAGCTCAGGTGCTTTCCTGGCCCGTGCCATAAGGCACCTTATCATTAGCCGACTGCCGCCACTCTGACCAATGATGATGAGACACGCTCAGACCACGCAGTTCGAAAAGGATCCTATGCTTGCGCGTGCTGGTTTACCCCTCTTTTTGCTCGATCAGAAACCTGTCTTCAGAAATGCTAGAGGCATTTCAGCACGAGAGGGTACCACTGCTTTATCCGCTCATCGCCATTCTATCCGCTGAATATACTGTTTTATGGCCATGGTTGGAGTACAGCGCTGGCATGAATTGGACTCGTAGGTGGAGTTTTCCTGCCAAATTTCATTCGTGTTGCGAATACGATTTGGGCCGATGCAGCCTGTTGGCCTTAAGCCAACTTTAAGTAATCCTCTACATCCTTGTATGTCTCCATACATAGGCCTTCCAAAGCCGCTGGATGTTGAGGATGTTGTTTTTCCTTGGCTGAGGTCTGGGACTTTTTCCGATCTTATCGACCATCAAACCCGATAGCCAGAGAACTCCTTCCCCCCTGCCTGTTTGCGGGCAGCAGACGAAGGCAGGTCGTTGCTCGTGGCGCCCCCCCCCCTGAAAGCACCTTGCCTCCGGAGCCACATCGCCTGCCGATGAAGATGATGTGGTGAGTGGAGACATGGATGGCAGCGCCGTGCATCGCGTATTCGCAACCTTTTTTTCCGCGACCACGTGGTGTTGCCCTCGTTCTCGTGCGATGCTGCGCTCACAGGCGGGCCCGCATCCTCACGCATTGCAGGCCCCTGACATTATGCAAATTGCGCTCTGCCGCAGGCTGCGGCTGCTACTGCTGCTGGCGCCAGCCACTTGTGGGGATCGGGGCACGCCATGCTGCTTGCAATGTGCAGACGCACTCGGCGACCACCTTCAAAGATCAATGAGAAGGCATGTTGCCAGCGAAGCCGTTGGGCCCAAAAGGGCATGTGGTGCCTCAGCAGTGGCTCGCGCACACCACCACGCCTAGCGTCGCTTCAGATGACCTGCCGTCGGCTCAGCCTCATGATTTATCGGGCAAGCCGCTGGGAGGATCTGGAATGAGTCCAGACATATACGCCACCGTGATGTGGAAGCAGGGGACCTCCGTCAACATGGTAATGCGCTTCCCTGTCTGGGCGTTTGCATTGTTGCACCCACTTTCCTGGTTGTTGCGGTCGAGGACGGCATTCAAGGATTCCCCGACCGCTCTCGCAAAGCGGACCGGCGAGTCCGGACTTCCCTGTCTAACTCCATTCGTCTGTCTGAGCCTGATGGTATCTTGACCCAGCTCCACACTGAGGGCATCACTTTGGACTACGTGTAACCACAATCGAGCTTCCCATGGCGTGTCTGCGTTCCCTACTCTCTGCTGGGTTATCCTCCCAATCGTTAGCTTGACGATGTGTAGCGGGAGCTTCCATTCCTTACTCCCTCTCACCGCCAATTTTCTCAGGATAAGTATTAAATCTGAAGTTGTTTTCCCGGTCCGGCAGCTTTCATCGTCTTGCGCCAGCCTCATCAAGGCTTCCTGGCTGACCTTGTCAGGTCCTGTAGCCTTTCCTCTTTTCCAATGTTCCATAGCTTGTGCAAAAAGATCGTTCATAAAATGCATTTGACACGCTTGATGCGATGGATGAGGACTTTTTCATTGATTTCTAATGTGTATGTTGATGATACACCCCTCATTGCGCCGGATGATATTGCAGCAAGGGCTCACATGGCAATTGGGGGGCGCGAGCACCATGACCTCATCACCAGCGCCTCGCGCAGGCAGCACGGGCGAGGCCGCACAAGGTTGGCGGGGCTTGGCAGGAGCACAGTGCGACAAGGCGCCGAACGAGTGACATCGCACATGCGTTCCAGCATCCCCCGATCTCGCATCCGAGCACACACAAGGACTGAGCGCCCCCTTGGGCAAGCTCCGGGTAAGTGGCCTGCTTGCGTCGCTCCCCCACTTGCAACACGGCCCCATCCCCAGAATGCGCGCCTGCGTGCGGGGAGCCGTCCCGACGCAGCGGCGACGCTAACGCGGCATCGCAACGGATGGCCCACTGCTCAAACATGTACTTGTGCATACGGAAAGGGACCTACGGACTAAGGGCCTGGCCATCCACCCTGGGAAAATTCAGTATGTCTTCATGGACGAAGGTGACCAGGAGATACCGAAGCCGGTGCAAAATGGGAACGCTTCCATGTTTTGCCGATTTGCATGGAATGCAGAAAAATAAGATTGCACATCAGAATTTGTAGGAGCATGGCCCATTCGAAAGAATGCATCCTAGCCATTTGTGCGTGCTCAACCTGACACTACAGAAACGCTCATCCGGGCAAGCGCGAGCAGTTGGCAGGGGGCTTTGGCCTCCGTGGCCGGAATTCTGGTCCTGCGCGGTTGTCGGAGGTCAGCAGCGCGAATGCGCAGGGCAGGTCAGGTCAAGTCAAAGCCTCGTTAATCCCGGAAACAAAAAATGCGGATTCGGTGCCGCCACGCAATTGGTGGAGACGACCAAAAATTTGCCAACCCTTCATCGCTACCAGCCTCCTGTACAGCCAGCGGGTAAATTTGAGAAGCCCAAACCTGTTTCGGTCGGCCCCTGCATCTCGGTTTGTCGTGACTCCTACGTTAAAGAACCCTCCACGAAAACACGTCTTCTCATGACGTCTGTGGAGGGGGAGTAAGGCAATCCGATGAATCAATTGCAATCGCCTGTACAGCAAAATTCTGGAATAAGCCTTACATGCAGCCAGTGGCGTTGTGCGACAAAGTATGGCACCATGCGGATGCTCCCCGTGCTTGGCACGAAGCGCTGATCTCCATGACGTTCAAGAAAGGGTATGCAGGCAACGGTGAGAAGTACAGGCCCATCTGACTGCTTGTTGTTGGGCATAAAATATTTGCTGCGATCCTGTTGGGGCGTTTGGTTGATGGAGGGGGACGTCAAGAATTCGGCACACTCAATTCGGATTTCGTTCGGGAAGAGGCACTGCTGATGCAGCGTTTGTTGCCTGTCGACTCCTTGATCACGGGCAGTACCACAAGGACGATCGGTTGGTGTTCTTGGGTCTGGACCGGTCGAAGGCATTTGATGATGTAAACCCCCAACGACTGTGCCATGCCCTTAGTTGATTTGGTGTTCAGCAAAATTTTTGCGATGTCATAGGTGCAGTTTATAAAGAGACAAATTCACTGTCCGTGATTCCGGCCACATCTCGCGCATCCACGGACAACATTTCGCAAGGTGTCCCTTGTCGCCGCTTTGTTCTCAATTCTGATGACCGTGTTGTTGTTCAATGCGTCTGCAGAGCTGCATTTGCGTTTGCCGCGTTCAAATTCGGACATCGCCCTTGACAAATTTGTGTATGCTGACGACACCATGGTTGTTGCTGTTGACGCATCCAGGGCTGAGACCTATATGAGCTGCATCGCCAGTGCAGGGGTGGATTATGGCTTGTGTTTCAATTAGCGCAAAGTTGAGGCATTGCCTGTTTGCTGCAGCTTTGGAGTGCCACCCGACGTTTGTCCGATCGAATGCATGTATTCTATGATCTAACTGGGGAGTCTGCTGGACGGATCTGGTGACATAGGATCAGAACTTAATCGCCGAGTGGGTTTTGCAAGGGCGGCTTTCAAAACACTCACCCAGGTGTGGAAGCACGCTCGCGGTTCGCAACAGCACACGGCTCACATTTTTTGAGGCATGCATCCGTTCCCAGCTCCTGTATTGTTTGCATACAGCTTGATTGAACAAAGCGGCGCTCCGGAAACTGGATGGCTTTCAAGCTCGGTGTTTGACACAAATTCTCGGCATCCCGCACGCATTTCTAATCTGATGTTCCTGAGGTCCCATACACAAGCTGAGGAATCAGCTCTGCAAATGCATTTCCGAATTTCTGGCGGCAGCCTATCTTGGCCACATGCTTTGCCCCGCGCACGCTGCTTCGACCACTTCGATGCTAGAAATATTAATGCGCGAGATTGGCAGGGCTGAACCCAAACTTGTGACGTCACGGCCTTCGACTGGCAATTTTACGCAATTTGCACCCAGGGCACTCGCATGTAAAAAAATGCCGTTCGAACAAGGGCGTGGTTCCCAACGTGGTCAGCTCGTTGGCCGCAACATTGCCCAGGCGGCCTCGCGGAAACACAGGGCCGAACCATCGTCCTCCTCCAGGATTTGCCAGCACTTGTGTGGAAGGCCGGGAGGAGTCGCGCTTTGGTGTGGAGCGTCCTCGCATTATCACGTAGAATTGCGGTCTCGCGTGGGGCGTCCTCGCAACCCCTCCGGCTTCACAACAAGACAAATTGCCCAGCCTCCATAGCAACAAATAAATGCGCCTGGCCTCCACCGCCAAAAAAAAGGTGCCCGGCTTCCGCAGCAAAAAAAAAGCGCCAAGCCTTTGCAGATTCGGAAGAGGGTAGGTGAGTGAGTGAGTGAGTGAGTGAGTGAGTGAGTGAGTGAGTGGGCTCGAGTCTCCGCAAAAAAAAAGGCGCCCAGCCCCCGCAGGTAAAAAGAAAACGTGCCCCGTGTCGGGCATTGCCACGCAAATCGAACTGTGGCATGAGACGTCCTCGTATTCTTGCGCAGAAGCGCGCTACGTTGAGGAGCGTCGTTGATTAGAGAAAAAGGCAATCACAATTGCGCTCTTGCGCGCAGCGTCACCTAGAATTGCGCTCTCGCGTGGATCGTCACGTCTGCGTATTTTTGTCCAAAAACGCTCCTTGGTCTGTGGCATTTTCTTTCAGAACTGCATTGTGCTTTTGCGCGGAGCGTCCTCGCATTTTAGGACGAAGTTGCGCTTTGGTGTGGAGCGTCCCCTTAACCCCATAGCTTCCTTCAGCTGCAAAAAAAGAAATTCCATCTGCGGGTTTCACGCAGGTCCCAGGTCAGGTCAAAGCTTGGTGTATAGAC